GGGGAAGGCAGAAGAATGTTTCCGTTGTTCTCACAGAGGGAAATCTGATGTTACGAACTGACCTAGTCAAAGCTTTGACTTGAATCTCATTAAAATGTTGTAGGAGTATTTTAAACAGAAAGTTATTGCAAGGAAACCTACAAGCATCTTACAACTGAAATAATTCTGCATGGAGAAGTGGCGATGAATTGAAATTGTATATTATTAAAAAAGCTACTGACATACCGACATCCATGACTTTTAATCAAGCATATCATCTTTAACTGCAGGCTCTGTTTTCATGAAGAGCTAATGTTTGCTACCTTAAATATGTTGAAAAAGAAAACAATGTCCATTAGGAGTATTTACTTTTTCTTACAAACTGTGTATTTGATGAACTCTGCTTGGCTATATGAAGTTTATGGATTTGCAAATTAATATATTCAACTTAAAATGTACTTCCATGAAAGATTTGTGATTTTATTTTTGGATATTCTGTTAGCAGATGCTTATATTTTTTTATATATACACAATATATAAAAAAAACTGTATACATTTTTTTTTCTACTTAATGTTTAGACTTTTTGTTATGACATTTATTCCATAAGCACTTATTGAAACTTCACAAATGTACAAACTGAGCATAGATGTACCACAGAACCCAGAACTGCAGTTCACGTGTTAGAAGAACAGAAGACCAAGTAATGTTGGTGGTTCACTAGCAAGTGACGTAGGTTCAACTGAAAAGGTTAGTTGACAAATGGGAGAAACTTAACAAGGGAGAACAAGATAAAACAAATGAACAACCATAGACTATGGTAAAGTGTACTAAAAGGATAAGTGGTTCTGATGGGTAAGTAGTAACTCCAGGGCTGTGCTGACGACCTAATCGTACTACAAAATAGTCAAAAGATTATGGGCACTAACTTCAGGAGGTCATCTTTGGCTCTCAGGTAGCAGACAACAGGTTTCTGCTCTCTCACAGTATAGTATTGGTGATATTGCCATATGTGGTCAGGGACTGGAAATGCATCCAGCATGCCCACGTGTTTGGAAAAAATCTTTTTGAATGAGTTCTTCCATCTCCAGTATCAAATTGTAACCACTTCCATACAGGGCACTTTTACTCCCTTCCTGCCCAGGCCAATTTTCAGGTTTCAGCGCTCTCACAATTTGAATGACAATTGCACGGTCATACAACACTGTACCCAAACTAAAATTTTATCATTTTTTTCTCACAAATAGAGCTTTCTTTTGGTGGTATTTAATCACTGCTGGGGTTTTTATTTTTTGCTAAACAAAAAAAGACCAAAAATTTGGAAAAAAAACAAAACACGTTTTTCTTGGTTTCTGTTATAAAAGTTTGCAAATAAATAATTGTTCTTCATAAATTTAGAACAAAATGTATTCTACTACATGTCTTTGGTGAAAATAACCTGAAGTTCTGACAGCCAATCTAATTTCTTGAGGTCCAAGAATGTCAGAACAGTACAGATATCCCCCAAATGACCCCTTTTTGCAAAGTAGACAGTCCGATGTATTTCATAACATGCATGGCGAGTTTTTTGAAGTTGTAATTTTGTCATAATTTTTCGGAAATGAATAAAAAAATTTTCACTTTTTTTTTTTACATATTGTCACCAGTGCAGTACAGTGTCATCATATAACTGGCATGGCGGTGATCAGGGACACTGACTGGTGACAGTATGCAAAAAAAAAAACCCTTTTTTTTCTTTTTAAGATTTTTTTTTTATATTTTGTTTTCATATTTGGCCACAGCTAATCACGACACCTCTGGGCTGTGATTGGCCCAGCTTGTGCATGTGATCGCTGTGACCATTCACAACTAGCCACACTTGTATACAATGGATGGCATGATAGGAAGCCATCCATTGTATACAACTTTCATGTGATCTGCTGTGATTGGTCACAACATGTCACATGGTACTGGCAACGGGGCCAGTACACAGATCTGTCATCAGCCGTGTCCGAAGTACATGGCCGGTGACAGCTCGCGCCGTTGTGCGGCTCTGCCGGCATGCAAACTGCGCATGCCTGAAAGGACGCCATATGGCATCCACCAGGAGGGATGAGGGTTTTTGCCAGCCGCCATTCGCCCATAGGCCGGGCGGGAACCGGTTAATAAATGGAAGTGACAATCATACACACATTATTAACATTTTGTACACAAAGTATTGTAGATTCTTTTTTTTTAATAGGATGATTTTTTAACTATTAAAGAAGCTGCCACTTTACCCACTTAGGCAGTCTTTTGCTAGCCCATCCCCAATCCTCTTAAACTCTTTACTGTAGTCCCCTACTGTTCTATTCATCTGTTGGAGCCTGGCATCAAATCCTCTTTATGTTATGCATTAGATGGTATCAGAACATACACAAGGTGGTGAAGCCACCCCCCTTTTACACGACAGCACTCAAGCCTGGCGTGTTCAGCCTCCAACCTGCTAGTCTTTAGTTGCAGCTACTTATAGAGGGGGATTAGGTATTGGTAGCAAACGGAGATGTGTTGATCCCAGGAGCCCTACTGGGGAATATACGTTTGCTTATTATGGCTAAAGAATGCCTTACACAGGTTTTTAAGCAGTTTATAGTTGAATGTGGCTTCTTTGTTCAAGTTATCTATAGTTTTTCATGTTTACTTCCTTAGTGCGTTGGTACAGTGCTGTTCAACTCGTCGTTCACCTTTGAGCAAGCCACATGCTTCCTTGTGTGTCTTTGTAAGGATGTAACTGTCATCAATAGGATATGTTCTGGAAGACTGGGTGGATATCCTTGCCTAGCTAGAAGTTTTCTGCACCCCTGGCTCTTACCAGGTGAAACATACTTCATGATTGTGTATTTTGCATACTTAGCTGGGCTGTGTATATTCTATTGTAAGGTATGTTTTTCATATACAGGCAAGCCATCTAAGCAACGCATTATTTGTAGCTGTAGTTTGAGACCAAGAACATTTTCTATATCCGATGATTCTGTAACTGTGCATACCTGCTGGTAGTTTACCAGGGTAAGTGGTGATAACTATCACCCTTTACAATATGTTTGTTTTGATATGGGGTTATATATATCCTTTTTAGTGAACTCTCTTGTTTATGTGCTACCACATTCATCCTTGGCTCCTTTTGCTTGCTATGGAAGCATTCATGTGGGTTCAATCCCAAGCTGGACTATGTGTGCCTATTGACAAACAGTGTAGCTCAGATGCACTTCCACTCTCTCCTCACAGGCTGTGATTGACAGCAGCAGGAGCCAAGGGCAACTGGCACTGCCTCCAAACTGAACAGAAGGTTTTTTACCTTAATGCAGAGAATGCATTAGGGTAGAAAAAAAAACAAAACCTTTACAACCACTGAATGTACTTTATTTTCTGCTGCTGACCAGTGCTGTTTGCAGTAGTGACCAGGGGTGTACGAAGGGGTGGTTGTTTGGGGGCTTGAATACATTAAGTGGGGCACATCTGGAATCACCTTTATGTTTTTTCTTTATCTGTCAGGGTGCATGTTTGAAATATAAAATAAAGTCAAGCTGAAGAAAAAAACTTTATTTGTATAACCACAAGGATCAGCATAAAGTTCTTAATGACACATTGCAAAAAAACTCTTTTTATTCCTTTTTAAACTTTAGGTTATTTGTAAGTGATATAATAGAAGGGATGGCTTTTTCTCCAAGAACTGTGACAATGAAATATATTCTGCCTCCTAAATTGAAACTTTTAGTAGTCGTTTCACCAAAATCCTTTCCAGTGGGAGCAAATTGTTTTCCTACCCTACAGCAAGCTATACATTCATACATGTTGTGGTGTCTTGAGAAGACACTGTGATCCTTGCTACATTTTTGTACATATTGAGAGAGAATGTATTTGGCTGTTTGTGGGGTGTGGTAGTCGAACAACCCTTACATTACTTTTTGTAATAAAAAACCTGCAGTGTCCCACTTTTTGTTCACCTGTGTTTGCCTTCTAAGTGCCATCTACATTTAGTAGTACTTCTTGCTATACAACACAAATCACAACATAACACATTAATGGACTGTTTAAATTGTGATTTCTCTCTTAGGCTTGACTGCATAGGACCATGTACATTAATTGCAGCACATTAGTGTCAATGGTGCTGCAGTTTGACTGTCCTGCTGAAGCATGCGCTATTACATTTTAGGATGTTTTTCATCAAAGCACGTTGGGAAGTTGCAGGTCAGGTTTTACCTACAGTTTTCAAGCACATAGATATGAACAGAACCTAAAGTGGAACCTCTCTGTTCTTTATTGCTGTCTGTGTGAAAGATGGACAAAGCAATATTTCTGCTTAACGCATTATTTTAATGAGTCTTTGCACCCAGGTTCATATGTACATTTTTGAAAATGTAAGATTACAGATGTGCATAAAGTAAATGCATGATCATCTTATTAACTTACAGCATGGTCAGAGCTTTTGGCCAATTACACCAGGCAAGTACTTTGTTTTAGGCCTGCTATAACATGCAACAGCATTAACTCACACTGTATACATAACAGCTTGCATTCAACATGGAAGTAAAAGTGGGTCACTGATATATATAGAAGAGTGTCTTAACAATTAAGCTGCAACTGGGTCAAAATAAGCTTTAGGCTACTTTCACACTAATCAATTGCAAAAACAGATATGCGATTTTGCAGCATTTGCGACTCGTTTATTTAAAGAACATGTGACTCAAAAACTGCATCCAGGTGCGTTTTCAGCCACGTTTTGCATTGATTTCAATGGGGAGGTGCGTTTTTTTTTAATTGCACCAAAAATGAACCAAGCAAAACTTTGAAAAACGCACCGGATCAGCAATGGATCAGTGTGAAGAGTTTCACAGGAATACATGCTCACACGCTTAACTTCCGCCTTTTTTTAACACAAAAGCGGAAGAAAAACATATCGGTGTGAAAGTAGCCTTACATATAAATCCATAACAACAGCAGTAGTTGTAAACACTATCAGCAGCATTTACTGTTTTATATTTGGGATAAGTCCTGCAAACTTCTTCTAATGCATATAAGATCCCAAGGAGTTCACACCACACTTCGCAATCTCAGAACATTGGTCCATGTTCTTTTTAATCCGGTAGAAATGTTCCACGTATTCTGAACGCCCCAGAAGTTCTACAAAGTCTTCATCATGTGTAATCACAAGCAGCTGAAAATTTCGCTGACTTGACCGACTTTTGATGATCCTATAAATATAATGACACAAATTAAGCATCTTTTCAGTGTCTTCTATATATACTGTATCATAAAAAAAGAATGATCAACGGTAATTAGAATATATCAATATAATTTTTTTCCCCCACAAATATCAACAGTGTAGTTTATATTCCTTATTTGGATCATATTTAATGGAAATGAATTATGAGAATGCAAAATAAAAAGCCAGAAACTTACAAAGGAATTGCTAAAATGTTTTTTCCCAGTTTCAAATACAGTAAAGGACATTTATGACCTCTGTCAGGTTCTTATTGCTAATTATGCTCCCAACAGGGAAAGGTCCCCATACTTTCTATACCACCTCAAAGTAAGGAGAAATCCCAGCTCAGAAAGTCAACATTGTAAAAGTGTTATTATTGAGAAATGTATCCCTTACTACTGGTCCCTGGGAAGAGAAAGGATGAAACTCCAAAGGGAACAGATGCCCCTTCGGTTTGCTTTTACCAGATCAGATTGGAGGTAGCCGGGTATAAACGGACACTTTACATCCGTTTAGTCCTTTTACATCCAGCTACCCATAAAGGAGAATTGAAGTTTCCGTTGGGTCCACTTGAAAAACGGATAGGCGGACCCAACCAGACTGCTTGTGTGAAAGGGGCCTAAATGGGAAAACGTTTGCAGGCAGTTGCTCCTTAACCATTAGCCGCCCGACCAATGGCCGTTTGGCGGCTTCAAATGTGCTCCTGTATTCCGGGTGCACGCCATTTGGCGTGCTCCCGCACATGTGCGGTTTGCGCGGTTGCAGAGCGACGCAGCAGTGCGATCTGTCACCGCCCGTGCACCTCGGAGACGGCCGATGACACATCCGAGTACCGGCTCCCGTTGCCGGTACCATGCTTGCTTATAGCAAAGTAATTCTTTGCTATAAGCAAATTGTGTAAAAAAAAAAAAAAAAATACTGATCACTTTCCCAAAGTAGTACAATGTTACTATGGTAACATTGTACTATTTTGGTCATAGTAAAATATGAAAAAAAATCTTAAAAAAAATAAAAAAAAATGTAATAAAAAATTAAAATAATAAAAAAAAATTAAAAAAAAAAAAAAATTTATAATCAGTGTCGCTGTTCACCGCCATGCCAGTTATATGATGACGCTGTACTGCACTGGTGACAGTATGTAAAAAAAAAAATAGTGAAAATAATTTTTTTAATTTTTTCATTTTCCGAAAAATTATGACAAAAAAATACAACTTCAAAAAACTCGCCATGCCTCTTATGAAGTACGTCGGACTGTCTACTCTGCAAAAAGGGGTCATTTGTGGGATATCTGTACTGTTCTGACATTCTTGGACCTCAAGATATTAGATTGGCTGTCAGTACTTCAGGATTGATCAATATTCAGATCTATACCATAGTTTGTGAACTCTATAACTTTAATACAAACTAAAAAATACATCCTAATTTGGGTTATTTTCACCAAAGACATGTAGCAGAATACATCTCGGCCTAAATTTATGAAGAACAATTATTTATTTGTAAACTTTTATAACAAAAACAAAGAAAAATGTTTTTTTTTTTGGTCTTTTTTTGTTAATTTAGCAAAAAATAAAAACCCCAGCGGTGATTAAATACCACCAAAAAAAAGCTCTAGTTGTGAGAAGAAAATGATAAAAGTTTAGTTTGGGTACAATGTTGTATGACCGCGCAATTGTCATTCAAAGTGTGAGAGCGCTGAAACCTGAAAAATGGCCTGGGCAGGAAGGTGTAAAATTGCACGGTATTGAAACGGTTAACCACTTGCCCTCTTGAGGATTTACACCCCTTCCTGACCAGGCCTCGTTTTGCTATACAGCACTGCACTATTTCAACTGATAATTGCGCGGTCAGGCAAAGCTGTACCCAAACAAAATTTATGTCCTTTTTTTCACACAAATAGATCTTTCTTTCGGTGGTACTTGATCACCTCTGCGCTTTTATTTTTTGCGCTATAAACAAAAAAAGACTGAAAATTTTGGGGAAAAAAAAGTTTTTGTTTTTTTTTTTTACTTTCGGCTATAAAAAATATATAGTGAACTCAAAGTTAGACAAAAATTTAGGCCAAAATATATTCTGCTACATGTTTTTGGTAAAAAAAAATTCCAAATAAAGCTTTCTTTTGGTGGTATTTGATCACCTGTGCACTTTTTATTTTTCACGCTATAAACAAAAACAGAATGAAATTTTTTTTAAAAAACCAATATTTTCTCATTTGTCATAAAAAATATCCAAAAAACTCAAAGTTCACCATAAATTTAGGCCAAAATGTATTCTGCTACATGTTTCTGGAAAAAAAATATCCCAATAAGTGTATATTGATTGCTTTGTGTGAAAGTTATAGCCTTTACAAACTATGGCATAGATAATGGAATTTACAGATTTTACTTTGACTGCTTATCACATTTCTTGAGGTGCTAAAATACCAGGACAGTACAAAACACCCCCAAATGACCCCTTTTTGGAAAGTAGACACCCTAAGCTATATGCTGAGAGGCATATTGAGTCCATGGAAGATTTATTTTTTTTCCACAAGTCTTTGGAAAACAAAAACATTTTTTATTTTTTTTACGCAAAGTTGTCATTAATTGATATATTGCTCACATAAGCCATGGGTATATGTGGAATTACACCTTAAAATACATTCTGCTACTTTTACGAGTATGGGGATACCACATGCATGAGACTTTTTGGGAGCCTAGCAACATACAGGAGTCTGAAATCCAATGACCACTTTGAAAGCCTGAAGGTGCTTAACTTCCTCATTTCACTTCCTCACTACCTATCACAGAGGCCCTGAAATGCCAGGATAGCACCAAACCCCCCCAAATGCTCCCTTTTTGGAAAGTAGACACCGCAAAGAATTTAAAAAAGGCATGGTGAGTGTTTTGAAGATCTAATTTTTTCTCATAAGGTTTTGAAATATAAAAAACGAAAAGAACAAATATGTTTTTGTTTTCTTTCTTCATTTTCCAAAAACATGTGGCAACAAACGAGAACTGCAAAATACTCACCATGCTTATCAAATTCCTTGGGGTGTCTACTTTCAAAAAGGGGTCAAATTGGGGGGGTTTGGTACTATCCTGGCATTTCAGGGCATCCGAAACTGTGATAGCTACCAAGGAAGTGTAATGAGGAAATAAAGACCTTTAAAAGCCTGAAGGTGCTTATTGGATTTCCCCACAAATCATCACTCAATTCTGCAAGTGGTTCTAATTTACTAACGCTGTTCTCTAGTTGGTCTAAAACCGCTTTTGACATAAAGGGACGCTTTTTGGATGCCATGGACGTTTCTCAGTAGGAAGGATCCACTTCGTCCAGTTGCTTTGTAAATTGCAAAAGTGTACCAGTGTCGAGCTTTCCAGGAAACTAGGTACGGATTCATCATTTGGTCGTTGAAGTCAACCCCTCTCGTGTTAAGGTTATAGTCATGAACACAGAGGGGTTTCTCAACAACGCCAGATATCGTGTTAATTTGGACTGTCGCGTCTGCGTGAATGTAAGACAGGACAAAAATATCCCATTTGTTCTTCCACTTTACTGCGAGCAATTCATCATCCCTCAAGCAGGCTTTCTCCCCCTTTCTAAGTTGGGTATTTAAAGCCGTTAGGGAAAGCCCTAGCGATTTGGTTGCACGGTGCCACATGAGCCAATTCCAAGATTGCACAAATGTCTAAATAGTGGCACGCTTGTATACAAAATTGTCCATGTCTAAGTGGTACCCCTTACGGAACAAACACAACACAAAGTCCCAAACTATCTTGCCACTGCTCTCCATGTAGTCTGGGCAGTCGGGGGGGCTCGACTTCGCTGCCTCTTCCCTCATAAACCCTAAATTTGAACGTATAGCCTGTGGCCCTCTCACAGCGCTTATACAATTTGACCCATATCTGGCACGCTTTCTGGGGATGTACAGTTTGAATGCAAAGCAGACGGTAATGTGAATGAGGGACTCATTCACACAGATTTGCTGGGGCGTATACAAATCTACAAATTTCCCAGTGAGGCGGTTTAGAAGAGGTCAGATTTTGTAGAGCCTGTCATGTTACGGGATCTAAATTTATAGGTACTAGTGCAACTCACGGGAAAAAGAGTGCATGGCTGTCAGGGACTGCTTGAACCGCTACCTTTAAAATTCACCTGCTAATGCTGGCAGAGATCAGGCCTGATTCTGCGAACACTGCGGTGGACTCTGACACTGTACTAATGGCACTGACAGAGGGCAATCAAAGGGTTAAATGTGGCAATCAAGGGGTTAGAATGTCTCTATCTAATGTGTGTGGGTGCAGTGTGCTGCTTTTACTCACGTGTAATGTCTTTCTTCTCTCTGTGGAACAAAATGGTTCCAGGGAGGGAAGAACCAGCTAGATCCTGTGCCTGTATTTACAAATACAGGCACAGCTCTGCACCTCCATTTGCTGTAGATCAGCAGAGTCCCGGCCAAAATCACTGGCCAAAAACCTGCTGACATACACCTCCTACAGAGAATGACAGTGGGGTCATGCGCACTCTAAACCCGGAAGAGCAGAGCGATGTACGGGTACGTCACTTTGCCTGCAGCTACTGCCCCGTCCGCAGTACATTTTGGGCCAGCGGGAAGCATGAGGGTATTGATCACTATTGCAAAGTGCAGCTCAAAACAAGGACAATGGCTGCACAAATGCACCTTCACTGCAGCTCTAAGGTGCACTATGTGAATGAATATGGGAGGCTATTAAAGAAGCACTGTTGTACGTGAAAGTGCCAGGCAATGAAAGGTACCTTATGTAGCTCAGCTCTTGCCTGCACTGGCTCTTAAAATTAGCAAAAAAATATTTTTTTGGTACTCACTCAACTAATGCATGTGCAAGAGATTCAATGTTTTCACGATCCAGATTTGTTGTAGGTTCATCCAGGGCAAGTATTCCACAATTCAGACAAAATGTTTCTGCTAGAGCCAGACGAATAATAAGAGATGCCAGAACCTGCAAAACCAACATTCAACTTGATTTAATTTTGCTTACAGAATAAAGTACATTTCTTCTTATACAGCAGTGCTTCCCAAACAATGCTCAGCCAGGTACTACCTTTGCGGCACACTAGTGCAGCCCGTACTATTAAAATTTAAATGTCCCTCCCAAGCATGCTGCCAACACCTAGTCAGATTATAGTTTTTCTCAGCCACTGCAATACATTCAAGCACATCAAATTTCCCAGAAAAGCAGATAATAAACACTAATTTACATTTTAGTGCATTACCTACCTGCAGTATTCTACAGCCCACACCACCTGTATGCAACATTAGAGTTGCTAGCAAATTTTTTCACATTGCGAGCCATCAGCCTGCTATTTTAACTATTAATTGTTGTCGGCTTTATATATCTGGTGATCCCGTGCAATGCGAGTCTTTAATGCTGTATGGGAATCTTTTTGAAAGAGCAATAAATGGTGAGAAGACTTTTTTTTTCTTTTCTTACTTCACCATGGAAGTGTATTTTTTTTTCTCCCTTGTTACGAATGAGATCCTGCTGTGTTTGTGTTTTCTACTGCATTACTGGAGCCAGCGGATGGAGTCAAAAAGGCGCGTTTGACCATTCATTATAATTTTATGGTCCATCCTTTCTGGCAAGTGGCGTCTGGCAGCTGGGCACATGTGCTGTTGAATTTTAGGGACCACAATACATTTATGGAATGATTTTTTTCACATTTATTGTGATGAACTGCATTTTCATGCACTTTTTCTTCTAGGGTCCATGATATATGGACTACATGAAATTCATGCATATACACAATATACAGTATATGCACCTTTTATTTATGCACACTATTAATTTACACTATTTATATGGTTATTGTTATATTTGGTATATATTAGCACTGCTTTTTGCAGTATACTCACCTAAGTTTGTCTTCAGTGTCCCTCGCCAAAGTCATTTCCAGGTGCAGGGTACTAGTAATCCAGCTCTGCAGTTGGTCCATTTATATAGATGTCATTACTGTAGGTTATTTTCTGGATGCTAAGAGGACCATGTGGCTGGACAGAGTGTTTAGTTAAGTAAAGAGGAATTTTTACTCCCCTGTAAATTGGAATACAGTGCAGGACACAGGCAATTTATTCATACTGAATAACACAAAAACTGAATAACATAAAAAAAATTAAATAAAAAATAATCACAAATAAATAAATGTACGTGCAAAAAAAAAAAAAAAAAAATTTATATATATATATATATATATATATATATATATATATGTTTCCAAATTGTAACTATGGGGATCTCACGCTTTAAGAATCACTGTAGAAGATGACCAGCTTTCCACCTCTAAAATGGCCGCTTGAACCGCAAAAGTCGCCGTGCATTCCAAATTCCTATTATTTTGCATAGGAGATGGATGAGAGCTCTCCCTAAGGAGTATAAAAGGCGGCTGGAGACTGAAGGTGGTGTCTTGAGAACGCCCTGTGGGTGGGGCGAAACGCATTGACGCACTTCCGGTCTGCCGTCATCTTGGCCTACATCACTTCCGGTATTTGGAATGCACGCCGACTTTTGCGGTTCAAGCGGCCATTTTAGAGGTGGAAAGCTGGTCATCTTCTACAGTGATTCTTAAAGCGTGAGATCCCTATATTTACAATTTGGAAACTTGTTCCTTTGAAGCCTTTGAGGCTATTAAACAAGGCCTGTTATTTTATTGAAGCATGTGAGTGTCCTTATTCTATGGATTTATATGGTATTGAGTGGCAGTATTACACTATGTAGCCTTTCTTTCCTTGTACATTATTGAGGATTTCATGGAGAAGTAGAGTGGAGTCGATTGCTGTATATAAGCAGGGTGAAGGCGATTTGAGTTCCTCCTGAGGGGCTATAGGATCCCTTATATCCTATGAGGCTTATTACTCACCTCCATCTGGTGAGTGCGGTCATATATTATTTTTCACGTGGTAATTAGGTGGAAGCACATTTTGGAACATTGTCTTGAAAATCCTTTTGGGAAAATAAGGACTTATGTTTGAAATATATATATATATATATATATATATATATATATATATATATATATATTTATTTTTTTTGCACGGACATTTATTTGTGATTATTTTTATTTAATTTTTGCGCTGTTTTTTGTGTTATTCATTTTTGGTGGTTTTCACTGGTGCACAGCTGCATAATTGTATACTTTCTTTGATTGGCGCTGGGATTTTTTACTTAATTTATTCATACTGCATGGGTTATAGACTAGTACCATTGAATGATTGGACACTGCGAAGCTTTCAAGGACATGACCCCCTGAAGTGCCTCCTCTATAACTCTAGTCCACTCTGTGACTCCTTAGTTTTGTAGCAAGCAATGTAAAGTATCGAGGAAAGTTAAGGAGGGTGACCTGTAGCTTGTACTATATTCCAAGAAATGGAATTTACAGGCAAGTCAAAATTTGTCTTATCTTAATCATACAGGACATTCCAAAGCAATAGTTATAAGGGGAGGCAACAACTAGGCACAGAACTGTGCTAATGGGTTAAAAAAAAAAAAAGATAAAAACCCAGGTTCAGAGTGCCACTGTAAGAATGATGCCACTGAAAGCTGCATCAGCAAAAGAATGCTCCTGGTAAAAAAAAAAAAAAAAAGAAAAAGTATGAACAGAAGACCAGGTGGCGGCTTTAAGGGTGACAGAGGCTTGGTGCCTAAAGGCATAGGATGTTGTAACATATTTGCTGGAATGTGCACTTAAGAGTGCAGGAGGCGGCGTTTGTTTTAGAGAACACGCTTTAGCAATCAAATTTCTTATCCACCTAGCAGTTATGGATTTTGAAGCGGGGTGCCACTTGAGAGGACAAATAGGGAATGTTTGTCTAATGCAGTGTTTCTCCATTCCAGTCCTCATGGACCCCCAACAGGTCATGTTTTCAGGATTTCCATTATTTTGCACAGGTGATTTGATCAGTTTCACTGCCTTAGTAATTACCACAGCTGTTTCATCTGAGGGAAATCCTGAAAACATGACCTGTTGGGGGTCCATGAGGACTGGAGTTGAGAAACACTGGTCTAATGGAAGCTGTAGCATTTAGCTACAGTGCCTTGAAAAAGTAAATTTTCCACATTTTGTCATGTTACAACCAAAAATGTAAATGTATTTTTTTGGGGTTCATGTGATAGACCAACACAAAGTGACACATATTTGACATTGACATTTTTGCCCATTCTTCTTTGTAAAATAGCTCAAGCTCTGTCAGATTGGATGGAGATTGTCTGTGAACAGCACATTTCAAGTCCTGCCACAGATTCTCAATTGGATTTAGGTCTGGACTTAATGACTGGGCCATTCTAACACATATATATGCTTTGATCTAAACCATTCCATTATAGCTCTGGCTATATGTTTAGGGTCTTTTCCTGGTGGAAGGTGAACGGAGGCCCCAGTCTCAAGTCTTTTGCAGACTCTAACAGGTTTTCTTCTAAGATTGCCCTGTATGTAGCTCCTTCATCTTCCCATCAACTCTGCCCAGCTTCCCTGTCACTGCTGAAGAAAAGTATCAACATAACATGAGGCTGCCATCACCATGTTTCACAGGGGGGATGGTGTGTTTAGGGTGATGTGCAGTGTTAGTTTTCCGTCGCACATAGCGTTTTGCTTTTAGGCAAAAAGTTCAATATTGGTCTCATCTGACCAGAGCACCTTCTACCACGTTTGCTGTGTCCCCCACATGGCTTCTCGCAAACTGCAAACGGGACGTCTTATGGCTTTCTTTCAACAATTACTTTCTTCTTGCCACTCTTCATAAAGGCCAGATTTGTGGAGTGCACGACTAATAGTTGTCTTGTGGACAGATTTTCCACCTGAGCTGTGGATCTCTGCAGCTCCTCCATAGTTACTATGGACCTCTTGGCTACTTCTCCGATTAATGCTCTCCTTGCCCCGTCAGTTTAGGTGGACGGCCATGTCTTGGTAGGTTTGCAGTTGTGCCATACTCTATTTTTGGATGATGAATTGAAAAGTGCTCCATGAGATGTTCAAAGTTTGGAATATTTTTTTTTTTATAACCTAACCCTGCTTTTAACTTCTCCACAACTTTATCACTGTCCTGTCTGGTGTGTTCCTTGGCCTTCATTGATGTGGTTTGTTCACTAATGTTCTCTAACAAACCTCTTCACTGAACAGCTGTATTTATACTGAGATTAAAAATTACACACAGATAGACTCTATTTAATAATTAGGTGACTTCTGAAGGCAAGATTTTAGTTATGGGTTACAGAGTATAGGGGGCTGAATACAAATGCATGGCACAATTTTCAGATATTTGTAAAAAATTTTGAAAACCATTTATCATTTTCCTTCCACTTCACATTTATGTGCCACTTTGTGTTGGTCTATCACATAAAATCCCAATAAAATACATTTACGTTTTTGGTGGTAACATGACAATGTGGAAAATTTCTAGGGGTCTGAATACTATTTCAAGGCACTGTATACTCTAATGGCTCTGACAACATTCAGGCTATCTGCAGAGGCTCCCTGTTGATCGTTAGGAACAAGAATGGAAGAACAATATCCTCATTGAAATGGGATGTTAAAACCACCTTTGTAAAGAATGACAATCTAGGGCATAGTATGGACTTGTCATTCTGAAGTATGAGAAAGGGCTCTTTGCAGGAAAGAGCTGCTGTTTCTAAGATACATCTAGCAGATGTGATGGCCACCAGAAAGGCTACTTTTCTGGTAATAGATGCCAAGGAAATAACCCTGATGGGTTAAAATGGTGGTTTTTGTAAAGCAGAAAGAACCAGTTAGAGTCTCAGGGGAACACAAGGCGCTGCAAGGGGGCCTAATATGAGAAACCTTGAATAATGATTTTTAAGTGCAAACGTAAAGCTAGATGCCTGGAAAAGGATGGACAAGACTGAAACTTGCCCTTGTATAGTGCTGAGAGCTAGATTCTGGTTAGAACCTTTTTGTAGGAAACCCGCAACACAGTGTACATCAAAATCTATGGGATTGAATTGAATGCACTCACACCAGGCAAAGTAAGATTTCCAGGTATGGAAATAAATCTTCCTGGATGGGGTTTTTTTCTCTACAGCAAGGCAGTAATGACAAACTTAGAGACCTCTCTATCCTTTAGGGCCTGGGTTTCAATGGCCATGCCATTAAAGCCAGAGACTGCATCATGGTGGAATAGAGGGCTTGAGATAGCAGATCCAGTCTGTTGGGAAGAGGGCAGGGGTCTTCTGCAAGAAGTCTGAGTATGTCTGTGTACTAGAATCTTCTGGACCAGTTTGGTGCCAGAAGAATCATTGTCTTTCCCTATCACTCTATTTTTTGGAGCTGGTGGGATAAAAAGCTCAGTGGAGGAAAGGTATAAACTAGATGGAACTGAGACCAAGGGATAACTAGAATATCTGGAGGCCAGAGCTAGGGGATCCCTGGTGCTGGATACAAACAGCATGTTGTATCTGGGGGCTAGGATGTCCACATCCGAAGTCTCCCATTTTTGGCATACCCAACTGAAAACAGCTGGATAACGAGACCATTCACCTTGGTCCAAGTGGTGTTGACAGACAATCCGCCTGCCAATTGTCCACTCCTGGAATGTGGCTCTTCGTGCCCCCTGGATGGTTGATATATGCAACTGTAGTGGCATTTTCTAACTGCACTCGAGGTGTTCCCTTAAGAAGGGCGTCCTGTACTGGAGGGCCAGCTTGATAGCTCTGAGCTCCAAGATGTTGTTGAGGAGTCTGGCCTCCTCCTTTGACCATGTCCCCTGAACCTTAACAGATTGAAGACTCCTCCCCAATCTGATAAGCATGCACCTGTTGTAAAAAACCCTCCAATTGCAGGGGAGAAAGGATTTTTCCACTGTCAGAGTTAAAGTGGTAATTCACCAGGATAAGGAATATCTTGTTTGGAGTGACAAACATGGGGTAGATTCAGTTAAAGAGCCTCTTGCTTTTTCCATTCTGGAAAAAAATTTGACTGGAGAGTTCTTTAATGGAATTGGGCAAAAGGTACTGCCTTGAAGGAGGCACCCATTAAGCCCAGAACTCTCATGGCAAATCTCACTGAATCTCAGTTTTCAAGCATGAGCTCAAGCTATAATTGAGAAATGAGAGTACAGGCCTCCCTCCACAGCGTGGGTTCCAGGTATGGCTCCCAAGGTTTTATCGAGGTTGCACCAATCCAGATACACTACTTTTTAGACAAGAGGTTGACTGAAGAATTCTTTAAAAAAATATTAAAAGAAAATAACCAAGTTGTGAAGCTGCTCTCACATATTAATGGAGTAGGGTAGGGTTATATGGAAGGTGCCCCAGGGGGCTTATTCTCAAAAGCTTGCCAGTGTCTAATCACCTAAGGAATGAGTCCATAACCTATGGTGTATGAATAAGTTGCCTGTGTCCTGTACTGTATGAATAAGATAAGGGCATTTATGTACATTTTACTTTAATCTTCTATGCCAGTGATTAGTTTAAGTTGGTGCCAGGGGAGGAGAGAGTGTTTTTGTTTTCTATGTTCTATGCCAGCGATTAGTTAGCCCTTAATGCTGTGCCTCGCAGCCTTTTAAGGGGTTTCTGATCATGTGACTGCTGTGATTGGCTGTCAAAGCAGACATGATCAGAAAACTCCTGATCGCAAGTAGCGATCAGGAGCTTTTTGTTAGGCACCGGTATCTATGCCAGGAGCATGCAGGGTGCACGCTCTTAGCACAGATTTGTTTACATTTTGGTACGCAAGTATGTGGCCTGTCAGCATCAAGGCCCACCAGCCAAGGCCGCATATTTGCATATTCTCGATACGAAAAAAAGTTAAAAAGGGGTGGGGAGTAGCTTTATACTTCATTTCATTCCTTACAGTTCTGTATACATTTAAACAAAAATAAAACTTCATGACCAATACAAGAAAATGGAAGCCATGTACCTTTTGCCAGCAGCACTACACCGTCCTCTCATATCAAGTGCAGTATCTCCTTTGATCATCACAACTCTGTAGTTGTATGTCCTTCTCTTATCAGAAGCTGAGACACTTTCATCAGCATCAGATCTGATCTCGATGTACTCTATATCTGAAACCACATGAAATATTCAAAACTGTTTATTACTAAAACTAAAAGAATTATGGCCAGGCTTTCTAAATTGCAACAAATACATTTGCTCGGAAAAAAAAAAATGCTTCGATTTTATGCTAAGCATTACAAATAATAAATACTGCCTTATAAAGCAAGAAGAGTCCACTGTTTTTATTATTCTGTGGTCAACTGTTTCATCCTTTAAAGGCCTAACTTAATATGGCACCTCCTTCGCACCTGTTTTAACCCTTTAAAAACTTGCACCACCGTGCCTGAACTGCATGCACTGTGGTCCCTTGTGAATCCATGGGCTGCTTGCCATCGTAATACTGCTGGTTGAACACAACAGGGGGTAAAATTTTTGCCATGGCATGTGTACAACCCCATCCAGCTGCCTTTGCAGCTTAAGAGTGCAATAAAACTGTGGCTCAACTGCCTATTTTTACAGCCTCCTGACAACAAGTGTATACAAGCCTTTTGATTTGTCACATCTGGAATATTTTTAGCTCATTTAAACAGATACTTTAGAAAACAGCTTTCAATTTTTGTCTGTAGTGAGTACAGTACAATGTACTGACTACAGAAAAAATACACTAGGATATTATTGAGTTAACAGATGCTGTCAAACTAGGTCATACAAGATGATGCCCTTTTACATATCAGCAGAACTATTGTATATGCAATCTTTAATCACTTCCCACCTGGCCTCTATATATACACAGCGGGAGCTTCCTTGTTCTGGTGCGCAGCAGCACAATCTGTGATTGATATGTCCATCAGACACAGCGGAACACAGATCAGTGTCCATGGCCATTTGACCTTGTACTATGTGATCACTGTGACCAAGCACAGAGCTACACACATGTAAACACAGGCTGCGATCCTGCAACCTGTGAAGTGTCTCCTATCAAAGAGATAGAGTGTGTGTAGTACAGTGCTGGGTTCTGTACGAAACACTGAAAAAGTAAAAAAACTAAAGATTAAAAAAAAGGGAAAAGGCATCTGTCACTGATCACTGTCACTAGAGCTGTGAGAGTCACTATGGTGACATTGTACTGCTCTGGGTAGTGATCAGAGACACAGTATACCATTGCAGCAGTGTCTCTGATCATTGGCCAGAGCAGTACAATCCCTAGTGACAATGTTTAAATGAAAAAAAGAAAAAGAAAAAGAAAAAAAGAATAAAGTTGTAAAAATTAAAAAAAAAAAATTAAATATATATATATAAACTAAAGGCTTATTCAAACTTGCAATGCTTTCTAAAAAGTGATAAACGTTCATTTCGCTCTTCTGGGAGCATGAAACAATTTTGCCAGCTAAATGCATCTCAACCACGTGCGATGTGTGATGTGCATTGCCCGAGTCATGATCGAAGGGCAGTAGTACTTACAGAGCATGAAAGGAGGGTATAATTCCTGCCATGACATGCATACACTCCCAGCTGGATACAAAGTAAACAAAGAGAAGGCGCACCGGCCTAGTGCATAACCTTAAATAACATTTATTTATAAAAATGCTAGGTAATATACTCACAAAAGACAAACGTATATAAGCTCATCATAAAGAACAGTACTGTCCAGTCCGCATGGTATGGCTATCTGCATAGAAGCACTGGACCTCCAACAGCTAACGCATTTTGAGGACTTGCCTCTTCCTCAGAGCCACTGAGGAAGAGGCAAGTCCTCAAAACGAGGACTGGACAGTGCTGTTCCTTACAATGAGCTTATATACGTTTGTCTTTTGTGAGTATATTACCTATCATTTTTATCAATAAATGTTATTTAAAGGTAATGCACTAGGCTGGTGCTCCCTCTCTTTGTTTTCTTTGCATCCAGTGTTTTGAACTTCCCCAGTCCCTTGAGGGCAGCAAGGCGTGCACCATCCAGGGTTTCCACAATGGATCCATAAATGTATCGACTTCACCCCCAAGCGCAGGAGCATTTGTGTCATACACTCCCCGCTAAAGAAGGAGCATTTGGGGGGGGTTCAGTAAAAATGAATGTGGCTCAACTGCAGAACTTACTTCCCCCACACTGAAAGTGTAAAGGAGCCATTACACACTCACCACACCAGTGCAGTCACAGTGTCCCTGAATGCTGCCAAACCAGACCCAGTGTCATCATAAGGCCTCATTCACAAGGGGCGTATAAATGTTTACCCCATGTGAGGGCTATGTTTATCTTTACGGGAATGCACAGATGTTCTGATCATCACCATGCATAGTCCCATCGATGTCTATTGGCACATATCAGCTGCAAGGACTCAACTGCTGCTCCCAATGTGACAGCATTCCTGATGACAACCATACCAGTGTAGCGTTGCCTGCGATCGATGCTTGTACTGACCCTGGCCTTTTTTTTTTTTTTTTTTTTAATTACACTTCTGCCTGCTGTATGGAATGATTCTTTGCCTCTTTATTGATTATGTCTCTGCATGCCTGAGACACCTGTCCCAGCCATCCCCTATTGAAAACTGGACTCCCGGAATAACAGAAACTGTTCGTTTATTCAGCTGCCTGTACTGGTATCTACTTACTTGGGGTAACAGCTTTTATATTTTACCAAACAAATTAGTAATATATACATTCACCAGCCACTTTATTAGGTACACCTGTTTTTTTTTTTAATTTGCTTGGTAACACAAATTGCTAACCAGACAGTCACATGGCATCAATTCAATGCATTTAGGCATCTAGACGTAGTGAAGATGACTTGCTGAAGTCATCTTCAAATGGGGAAAATGGGGCCCAACGCGGTACTAGCAAGGTGTAACTAATAACTTAGTGTAAAAAAGAAAATGGGAAAAAAAACATTTTCATTTTCTTTCTGCATTTTTTAAAAACTCATGGCAATAAAATGATATTTCTGAAAGACTAATTATGTCTCTTAGAAAATATGATGAGGTGTTCACTTTCCAAAATGTTGTCATTTTATGGGTATTTCCCCTGTTCTAGTGCTCCAAGGCCTCCAAAAATGTGATAATTAGTCAGGAAATTTGAAGCATAATTTATGCTCCTTGAAGGCCTGAAGGTGCTCCTTGGATTTTGGACCCTTCTAGACAGTTAGGATGTGAAAAAGTCACACACATGTGGTACACTCATACTTCAAACTTCATAAAATCACAACGTCATCACAGTGCGAAAACAGAAAATGGTAAACGCGTTTCATGTTATGGACAACACTTGCTCACAACTCGTAGGTTTTTTTGCCTACAAATAGCAAAAAAAAACACTGGGCAGTGTTGTATGACTTAGTACTCTTGTCCTCTTGTAAGAGGAAAGGTCAAAAAGTGGATGTGAGCGCAGCATTTGAACAGTGGTGGATACACGGTGTGCTTGTTCACAACTATTTAGGAGGTGGTGCACGTTTATCACGGAAGAGAATAAAGCAGCACATTTCATGAAGGAAGATACACACAATGTATGGACTGTGGACACTATATGATATGTGGTTTCTGTTTTAAGGAAGTTTGCGGAATTGCCGAAAATGAGGATATTATTTATTTGATGATGAGATTTGGTGCACAGATTACATGATCACAGGGAGGAGCAACATTTATATTTTGTTTTTCATTATTTATAAAGTGGTTTATTTAATTGCATATTTCACTTTTAGGTGGTGTGGGATACACATTTTTTATAAAGAGAAATGGCTAACACATTTCAGTGTTTAAGCAAAGCCTATGTATTTGTGTTTGTTTTACTGATAACCAACAAAATTCAAGTACCTTGTCCTCTATAAGTGCTGCGCCAGAGATCACGAATGATCTTATTAATCTCTTCCATTTTCATACTATGGAACTTCATTATGGCTCTAGCAAAACAAGACATAAAACATCTTGATAAGATCCTGATCATGCATCATTGTAAAATACATTTTTAGTGAAAACAATGTGAACTATAAGGGTTTTACAATAACAAAAAGCAAATCATTTTGTTAAAAAAACAAAAGAACCACACAAGACGACTTAATTATTGTAAACAAATAACACATTAAAACTGCAGCTTTAGCTCTCTCTGTTACAAGCCTTGGTAATTTAAACTGAACACACTATGATTAAGCACTAGCAAGCGCAAAAGGTGTTAGCGGTCTGTGTTTTACCACTTCACCTTGTTTTATTCACAGTACAATAAAAGGTAGCTTGTATTGGAGTTCGGTCATCCAAACCTTTCTTCACTGACATGTACCTCGGTATGAGCTGGAGCGGAAACCTGAATCCCTCTGGGGGTATAGGTGGATACTATTTGGGTTATGCTGCCACCTTTAGGTGAATGAACATTGGACCAAAAAAAAAAAAAAAAGACAAAATTCCCCACTCAGGCTATTTCCTCCAGTGAGCATTGGTCCTCTAATTTGGTGCAATTAAGAAAACAGAGTTATTACCTGTTAAATCACTTTGCAGGAATTTTCTAGGATGGCTTAAGAGAGAGAGGCTCATCCCAACTAGCACAGGAAATACATGATCCACATTATAAAAAGCATGCACCACAGCATACTCTCAGTCATAAATAACCGTAGGCATGGCAAATATACAGAATCAGATAAACCATATTCTTACTCCATAAAAGAAAACCATGGGGCGGAAATTGGCAGCGTTCTGGAAGATTCCTGGAAAGTGCATTAACAGGTAATGACCATGTTTTCCCAAGTCATCTTCCAGGACAGCTTACGAGAGAGGACCAACAAGAACTACCTGATTAGGGCAGGGCCACAGCTTGCAGGACCTTCCTCTTGAAGGCCTGTTCCAGACTGGAGCAGGTCCAAACGCCAATGCTTTACAAAGGTTTGGAAGCTGGACCAGGTAGCGATAGGAGAAGCCCCTGCCCTTTCAATCCATGATGTAGCCACTACTCTTGCTGAATGAGCTTCGAGGTTCAAAGGCGATGCTATTGAAGATGCCCGGTAAGCATCTGAGATGGCCAACTTCATCCACCTTGCAATAGTGTTCTTTGAGGCACTCTTACCTTTGTTAGGTCCTGAGGATAGCACAATCAAACTAGAGATGGTACGCCAATCCTTTGTACACTCAATGTAGGCAGACACCTCTTTACGTCTACCTTATTTTTTCATGCATTGGTCCACTGCAGAAGGAAGAGATTATAATCTCCTCCAAGCATGAACATCCGATTCAACTAGGTATGAATGTAGGATCTAAATTCAGAAAAATGTTATCTGGAAGAATAATGCAATAAGGCTTCACAATCAAGAGAGTCTGGATTTCGCCGAGTCTCCTAGCAGAAACAAGAGCCACCAAAAGCACGGTTTTCAGGGTTAAGAATCTAGTTGTGCACTTCTCCAGTGGCTTCCTTCCCGAAGCTCCTCAGGACGACTGAAAGGTCCCATGACGGAAATCTAGAATGCCTGAGTTTTGATTTGCATCCCATCTACAGCTATTAAAATCCTCTTAATTAGAGGGTCTTCTGCCAGATAATTTGAAAGGGCCGCAAAACATACTTTGAGTTTGTTGAGGGCCATACTGAGATCTACCTTGTCTTGTAGAAAGTCTAAAACCATTGGAATAACAGGAACAAATACCCTATTATCTTTAAAATTTCCACACTTATTTGCTCCCGAGGATGGAGGAGGATAACTTTCTTAGACAGTCCTTTACTCTTAAGCAGTCTTAAGGTCGGCAGTGAAAGTTGGTCCACAGCCGCACCTTGATGGAGGAGGTCTGGGGCGCAAGACAGTCTCCAGGGGTCTGCAACACTCAGTTTCAGCAACCCGGTGAACCGCGCCCTCTCAAGCCAGTAGGGGCTATTAGAATACCTTTTACAGATGTCCAGGACTCCCCAGAACTGAGACACAGCGTCCAGGCCTAAACTGAGAGAGTCTCTTTTTAGGGAAAAGAACAGTTCCACCTTCCTGTTTTCTCTTGTACCAAATTGATCAATTGTCGACTTTCCCCATTTTTGTGAAATATGTTTCTAAAATCGTCTGATTCAGGCTACACTATGTCTAATGATTTGCCTCCTGCTCAGACAATCTGCCAAGCTGTTAATTTCTCCCTTCAGATGCACCGCTGATAATGACGCTAGGTTTTCAAAAGATCTTCTGCAATTTCCATTAGACCCATGGCCCTTGTACCACCTTGTTTTTTGATTTAACAAACCAGTTATGTTGTCTGAAAAAAACCTGTATGTGTAGCACTGAACGAGACCAGGGCTTTTAGAACTGCTCTCAGCTCTCTTGCATTGGACGAGTTCTTGGACCACTGAAGGTACCATGCTCCCTGGGCCGATTCATTGTGTGTAGGCTCTGAGACCAGAGATGGCCCTTTGGCAGATTCTCTGGATTGACCCATCAGTTAACGGACTGCTTCATTGACTGTGGAACATTCACTACCATTGCTAGAGATTCTTTCTGACCATTCCAAATAAACAGCATGAAGTTTTGAAGGGAACGCATATGACACTGGGCCCACTGAACTCCCGGGATGGCCGCAGTCATCAGACCCAATGCCCTCATAAGATTTTTCTTCTTTGGATTGAATCCTTTGGAAGCTTGAGAATTTAGACAAAAATCAGCATTTGCCAAAATCAGGTTCTGAATCTTTTCCTCTGTGAGGAACATCTTGGTCTCTATGAAATCGATCAAATAGCCCAAGAAAGCTTTTTGGAAAGGCTGTAGGTGGGATTTTTCTAAGTTTATCAACCATCCCAGGCTCTGAATGTGTTTGATTGTTAGGTCCAGATTTTGCTTCACTTCTTCAGCGAAAAGTAGTTATGTAGGTAAGGAATAATCTGCACACCTGCAGCTCTTAAATCCTGCAAGTCCTCTGCAAGTAACTTGGTGAAGCAAGAAAAAAAAAGTACTTACTGGTCCAGTGTCTTGTAATAAATGTCCAGGTCTTTGTTGGCCAGCTCTGTAGTTCTCATAACAATCATCATCTCCCTGTGTTTCTCTTCAGCATCTTTGTATTGGGGTTCCCGAAGCTCTTTCTTAAACCGCAAGATTTCATCCTCAAATCCTTTCTGACGCCCAAGAGCCAAGCTGTGGTTTGTTTTCAGTGTTTCAATTTTGTTTTCCAACTCTTGATGTTCACTGAAAAGCAAAAAAAAGGTACAAGAAAGATGAACCTTAAATTGGATTCAGAGTTTAAGCATAATGAAAGTGAGGCAGCAAATGATATAGTGGATATGGTGGTTGCATTACACACATCTCACAAGCACGGAGCTTAAATAATTCACATAGGTTGATAGTTGCCTGAAAACACTCTGTACCACCATATGGTCTGCTCTTGTTCACTGCCTTTAGATTTTTCTTGGACCAAATTCTGCACTTTTAACAAAGACATTTAATGTGAAAAGTGATACTGATACTGTATTGCACACAAAAAAAAAACCTGAAAAATTTACAACAATGCTGACTTAAACTGCAGCTGGATACAGGATAATGTTATGTAGTAACTAATCGAAGACTGAAGATTCTTACTTCCTTAGATGTGCAGCTTTCATCTGCCCCATTTCCTTTAATAGTTGCTCTCGCTCTTGTTCAACCACCTTTAACTCTTCCACTCGTTTCCTAAGGGTTAAGTTATCCTGGAGACATCGTTCCTGTATCTACAGTGTGTGCAGAGAAAAATCAGCATAACGTGAACCTATAATCCATTATAAAATGTATAAATGACCTGCCTAAGAGCAGACACTGCAAGATGCCTGATATAACCTTAATTAGCCAGAAAGCCTTTAGCCTAGCAACTCTGTTTCTGCCGGTCCAGAAATTAACTACAGCAATTTAGCCACATTCTAGATTGTAAGCTCGAAAGAGCAGGGTCCTCAATCCCCTCATGTTTTGCATTGTATTGGTATTGTTCTGTCACATGTTCTGTCCCCCTCTGTATTGTACAGCGCTGAGTGAACTATTGGCGCTTTATAAATACTGTATAATAATAATTCTAAAATGTGCCTGGCTTCTTGTTAATGAGGTGGACTCATTTTATTTACAACTGAGCGCCGGGAGTACAGCTATCACTATACTTCCAGTGTTTTGACGGCGAGATACTTTCTCACACAGCAGCAACTCTGCCCACCCCTCTGCTGTCCATTCACAGAAGAATCTGTATTTTGTAAGCGGATTCACATAATACAAAGCACTTTATGACTGGGCAGGAAGAGGGGAAGAGATGGGGAGCAGAGTTGCTGCATGCGACTTCAGCTGCTGGAGCTTAGAGAAGAAAGCCCAGTGTCAGAGCATTAAAAATATAATGATAGCTATACTGCAGGAACTCAGTAAAAATGTAAATTGTAAATGTAAGAGAAGTCCACGAAGTGGCATGTGCCTCAATGGACTTAGCCCATAGTAATTCAGCACATTTTAGAAAGCAGCTGAATTCCTTGAGTTCAGCTTTTACTTTCCTACATAGCTTCACTCAGGAAAGACCTATTTTGTGTCTATTCAACTTCCCTATTTTAACTGAAGTGTTTTCCGCCCACCCCAAAAAAAAAGTGTTGGCTGTTTTTTCAACATTGATGACTTGTTCAAGGGCATCAACACAAAAGATTAAGTCAGAGAACAATGTCTGCAAGTGTTCCACCAAGGTTTGATCCTGAAAGACAGGATCCTGCTAGTTTTTCATTGTCCTAGTCCGGGTGTCGGCAACCCGCGGCTCCAGAGCCGCATGCGGCTCTTTTTCACCTTTGCTGCGGCTCCGGAGCACACTGCCCACCAGGTAACAGGCAATAGGGTTGCCGTAGCTCAGTGGTCGGCAAGCCGCGGCTCTTTTAACCTCCCTGGCGGTTTTCCCGAGTGTAGCTCGTGGTAGAATTTCTATACCACGAGCTACACTCGGGCTTACCATGCGGCGCTGCTCTGGGGGTCCCTGCAGCACTTACCTTGTCCTTCGTTCCCGCGATGTGTCCCCTGCAGCGTCCCCGGCCATCTCCTCCTCCGGCCGATGCCGGCATCCGGCTTCTGTGTTCCGGTCCCCGTGACGTCGGGACGTACGGGCGCCGGCGGCGGCGGGATATTTAAAAAATTTAAAAAATGTCTTTTTTTTTTTTTTTTCAATTTTCAATAGTAAAACATTGCTGTTTCATCCCATTTCACATACATATTGTCCCTAGTGCTTTGTCCTGTGCCCTGCCTGCATTTTGTCTGTTCTTTCTGCCTGGAAACTTAGAAAAGTCCATGGCGTCCAAAAAGCGTCCCTTTAGGTCAAAAGCGGTTTTAGACCGGCTAGAGAACAGCGATAGTAAATCAGAACCACTTGCAGAATTGAGTGATAATGATTTGTGGGGAAATTTTCCTAAAAATTACAGCCTACAATAAAAAACTATTTCCATGCGAAAAAATGGTACCGCTTTCAGCACAAAAAATCGGAAGGAATCATACCGCCAGGGAGGTTAATGCAGCTCTTCTGTGTGCCGGGCGCCCGCTCCCCTCCCTCCTCTCAGGCGGCCGCCCCAAAAGTCAGGACTCTGCAGCTAGCCTAGCAATGGGCAAACTACGGCCCGGCGGACCTTATAATCCGGCCCGCGGAGCGTGGCAAACATTGGCTGTCAGGATGTAGGCGGGGCAGCGTGACGAACTCCTCTCCTCTCACAGTCCGCCCTGAAGACCAGAACTGCGCGGGAACACGGCGAGAGGAACGCGCGGAGTACAGGTAAGTGAATTGACACAATATGGGAATGAATTACTATAGGGGGGATGAATTACTATAGGGGGGATGAATTACTATATGGGGGATGAATTACTATATGGGGGATGAATTACTATAGGGGGGATGAATTATGGGGGATGAATTACTATAGGGGGGATGAATTACTATAGGGGGGATGAATTACTATGGGGGATGAATTACTATATGGGGGATGTATTTTCAGTTTTAAAAATGTGGCTCTCAAAATAAATTTTAATCGTGGTTTTGGCGAGATTTGGCTCAGTTGAAAAAAAAGGTTGCCCACCACTGACCTAAGGCTATGATTGTGATTATGATGATATACTGTGGCCCTGATTAACCCTTTGCTTACTGGGCCCTTAAACCCCCTTCATGACCAGAGCGCTTTTTGCAATATATGCAGTGTCGGATTTGTTTTAAATGTTGCAATGGTTTTGCGGCTCCCAGTCTTTTTTTCCCTCTCGGAAACGGGTCCAAGTGGCTCTTTATGTCTTAAAGGTTGCAGACCCCTGTCCTAGTCCAACTAGCTGCAGTTTGGCAAACAGAAATAGTTGCAATAACTGGTTGCAGAGCTGGGTCTGTGAAGTTAAAGACAGCATTTAAAAGCATCTCAATTTTTTTGTCAGCAGAATCTTTAAATGAAGGAACATCTAATATAGCCACAGTATGAGGTTTGTTTAACCACTTGCCCTCCAGAGGATTCACACCCCTACCTGACCAGACCATTTTTTGCGATACGGCAATGCGTTACTTTAACCAACAACTGCGCGGTCATGCAGCGCTGTACATATAAGTTTATGTCTTTTTCCCTCACAAATTATTTTTTTGCACTATAAACAAAAAAAGACCGTCAATTTTGGGGGGGGGGGGGGGGGTGTGAACCACAAAACTATTTTTGACTTTTGCTATAAAACATATCCAATTAAAAAAAAAATTCTTCATAAATTTAGGCAAAAATGTATTCTGCTACATGTCTTTTCTAAAGAAAAAAAAATCCCAATACGTGTAAATTAATTAGTTTACATGAAAGTTATAGCATCTACAAATGGCGGTATATATACTGGAATATATTTGTTTATTTTTTTTTTATACTAGTAATGGTGCCGATCAGCGACTAGCAGGACTGCGGCGGGCATTCGGATACTGGGTGGGAACTAACGGCCATCGACATCTCCAGTGACACTAATACAGTGATCAGTGCTAATAAAAAGCACTGACATTGTACTAATGACACTGGGCAGGAAGAGGTTAACATCTGGGGTGATCAAAGGGTTAACTGTGTGTTGTGTTTACACTGTGTGCTGTTTTACTAGGGAGACATGCTGCTTTCTCTCTCTCTCTGCTGTGGAGGTAGAGAGAAAGCAGCATGTCCATGATGACAGGAGAGAGATCTGTTGTTTACAGAAAGATCTCTCCCCTCTCAGCTTTAGTGGTGATCACCAAGTACCGGCCAAGAATCATCAGCTGGGACCCGGTGACTGACATCCGCTGATATGTGATTTTGCGCACCGCTCTGTAGCAGTATATCGCTGCTAGTATTTAGTAAATGGATAGGAAAGTCAATCATATTTACTTGTAAACTTTTTTTTTACATTTCTCTAGTTACTTCCTGGTTTCTGTGCTGAGGCAAATGATGTCATACATCCTAGCAGTCTTCAGGAGGGGAGAGAGGTTTCTCCGCTCAGCCAATGCCTGAGCTAAGGGCAGGTGGATTCCTGGAAGTATTCTACATGAATATTTTGCCCTTATTCAAGATGGCCACTGCCAGACATACCAGGGGGTAGTTTTTCAAAATGATTTCTTAGCAAAATAAAGCATGGAGACAAGAATGGATGAGTTTTGTTTTGAATATTAACAATTAATTAAATAGCATTTTTGGTTTGTGGTGCTCAGTTACAGTGCAATTCCATTTTAAGTCTCAGACAACAGGGTTTACTACCAAAACCAACCACTTTAGAGTGATCTCAATTTTCAATGGATGGAGTTTAGCAATGAATCTCAGAGGAGCGAAAATCTTTTTAGGGTTAACTCTTCATTCCCCTCAATGTGTGCATCCTCTTGAAGAGGCATTTCACTTTCTGACTCTGGCAGAGACAGCAAGGAGCCTGGCGCTTTTGTCCTCTGGACCATGAGGGCTGAATTACCACCTCCCAACTGTTCACAGTAAATATACTGCGAGCAGGCAGCAAGTACAGGCACAGTCACATACATGTACCTGACTAGCCTTCTACCAGGTTTGGGGCATATATATAATACACACACACAAACTATATTGGCAAAAGTATTGGGACACATGCCTTTAGACGAACATGAGCTTTAATGATATCCAAGTCTTAGTCAATGTTGAGTTGGCCCATCCTTTGCAGCTATAACAGCTTCAAGTCTTCTGGGAAGGCTGTGCACAAGGTTTAAGAGTGTGTCTAGGAGAATGTTTGACAAATTCTTCCAGAAGCACATTTGTGAGGTCAGGCACTGATGTCGGACGAGAAGTCTGGCTCGCAGTCTCCGCTCTAATTCATCCCATAGGTGTTCTAATCAGGTTGAGGTCAGGACTCATCCTGGTCTTTATGGACCTTGCTTTGTGCACTGGTGCGCAGTCATGTTGAAGCAGGAAGAGGCCATCCCCCATACCATTCTCATAAAGTTGGGCGCATGAAATTGTCCAAAATGTCTTAGTATGCTGATGCCTTAAGAGTTTCCTTCACTGGAACTAAAGGGCCAAGCCCAACCCCTGAAAAACAACCCTACACCAAAATCCCCTCTCCACCAAACTTTACGACTCATACTTAAGAACGGAGGAAAAGTGAAGTCACTCTGCTCCTGGAAATCGCTGGGCCACCATCTTGCTGCTTACCACATGCCGACAAATACTGCCCAGCGGACGTGTCAGCAATCCCACATCACTGCATGGCCAGTTAAGCATTCCCTATGCTATCCAAAACT